TAGAAACTGGGAGAGTCTTGAGTTCTAGTCCCACGTCAGGCACGCAGCCAGCTGGGTGGCTCTGGGCCAGTCAATCTCTCTCAGCCCTAGGAAGGAGCCAATGGGAAGCCACTTCTGAACCCTGACTAAGAACATGACAGGGACTCGTCCCGGCGGTTGCCAGGAGTCGACAAGGACTCAATGGCGCACACCCACAACTGCAGACACGTCCCTAGGAGAAAAAAGGAAGCCAAAGCTATTAGCTCGCCGACTCCGAATTTCCGAAAAAGACAAGCCGCTTTGCGGATCACAATGTGGGCAACCCACATCGTCTCCCTTCCCCTCATGAAACCGCTTCCGCTCAGGCGTGAGCGTAAGTGGGGCCCAGAGTTGAGTTGTGATTTTTTCCCCCGCTAATGTGAGGCAATCCTCTCATAAGTGAACTCTAAACTTCATTTGTCTTTCAGCAGGCTTGATGACTATGCATTTAAAAACCCATTCTCTCTTATAAACTAAAAATTAAGCGTACTCAACTGTGGTGGCCGTCACTGCACCTGCTATTTATATGCTAATATCCTCACCAGAAGATCTTGCAAATTATTCTACCACACCAATATCTCACACGCATCTACTCACACTGATTCTCTCTCTCTCTCTCTCTCTCTCTCTGATTTTTGGCCAAGGAATTTCTCTCTCTCTCTCTCTCTCATTCACTCTTTCTTTCTCTTTCTCTCTCATTCTCTCCCTCTCTTTCTGTCCCTCATTCTCTTTCTCTCTCTCATTCTCTCTCTCTTTCCATCTCATTCTCTTTCTCTTTCTCTCTCTCTCTATGATATATATGAATGAGAGAAATTGGAACGGAACCAACTGATAGAATTGCACCCCGATGCCGAAGGGAGCCCAGTTACCTCGAAGGGAGGGAAGGCGAGGCTTGCAAAAAGCCACCTCCTGCTATGTATAAAAATCCTTGGAATCGACTGACAGTCGGAGCAGCTGCCAAGATGCTTCACTGGGATGCAGACTTTTATAACTCTGACACGGCCGTTTTTTTCACACTTATGACCATTTTTTCACACCTATGACCACTGCAGCCCCCATGTGTCACGTGATCAAAATTCAGACGCTTTTGCAACTGACTCAGAGTTATGATGGTCGCAGTGTTCCCTGGTGGGGGGGGGTCACATGATCCCCCTTTGCGACCGTCTGACGAGCAAAGTCAACGGGGAAAGCCAGATTCATTTAATGACCGTGTCACTAACTTGAGCCCCTGCAGGGATGAACAGCTGAGGCCAGAAGGGCTGTGAAATGGGGCAAAACTCACGTGACAAGGGTGTCTCTCGCTTAGCAACAGAAGTTTCGGGCCCAATTGCGGTCGTAAGTCGAGGACTACTTACATAACGTCCATAATGCTGCCAAATGGACCTAGAATGTTCTTTCAGAGGTTCAACCTGGAACAGACGTGGGACTAAATAACTCTGAGGGAGATGAGGGGTTGAGAAATATGGGGAATGAATGAATGAATGAATGAATGAATGAATGAATGAATGAATGAATGAATGAATGAATGAATGAACGCCCCGCCCTAGTCAACTCTGGCACCTGAACCTAGACCAAAAAAAAAATCTCATTTTTTTTCCCTTAGAAAACAAGAAGCAGAGCCACGAAGGGTGTCTATTTCCCAAACCCTTCCCACCTTTTCCATGGCCAGACATGCTGTCGAACGACAAAGGCTTTGTGGTGGCACTTAGTGCCTCCTTTTCCCAAACCCCGTTTGCTTTTAAAGGCCCCCTAACTCTGAACCAGACTCTCTCCCAACTGGAACCTCTCCGCAAGAGAATGGGTTGATAACTCTACAGTACTACTTAAGATGGTTATTTTTTAGCCTTGAATTTAAAGTTTAAATATGCAAAAGGTTTGCCAAACGTAGCACACTAGCGTGACCTAGCAAGTCCTAAACATGCATTTTTGACCACGAGTCCTAATAAAGGTAGGGTTTCCTGCCTAGGCAGGGGGTTGGACTAGAAGACCTCCAAGGTCCCTTCCAGCTATTCTGTTCTGTTCTACTCTATTCTCTATTCTATTCTATATTTATTCTATATTCTATATTTATTCTATATTCAATTCAATCTATTCTATTTTCTATTCTATTTTCTATTCTATTCTAGATTCTATATTTATTCTAGATTCGATTCGATTCTATTTTCTATTCTATAAAAAGTTTCTTCTTGCGAACTGAAAGGACAAAGGCATTTGGGAGACTTGCTGTGGGCTACAGCTCACTTTCCTGCAAGGAAGTAAAAGAGATGCATTTTTACCCTGCATTTGGCATTAAACTATTCTTGCAGCTACCAAATTTCATCCCGCCCACCTTGCCACGAAAGACACAGGTCCATATTTTGTAGCAGTAAGATTCCTCTACAAAATTAAGCAGTGGAAGAACAGGTGGCCCTTTGCAAGTCCTCCACTAAAATTAAAGCCCTTCCTAACTGCAACCCAAGAAGCTGCTTCGAGGCCATTAATTCCAGCTATTAACTTAAGCGCATATATTAATTCAGTAAAGCAACACCATCTTCAAACTGCCCTATCCAAAGACTAGCCAGCCCCAACTTCTGCGTAGCTTTCCAAAATTCAAAGTCAACCAGATGCTGCCCTCTAGCTGGTCACAAGTATTATTTTAGGCAAAATGTTGAAATAGAAATTATAAAGTGGGATTAAAAACTGGCAGTTTAAATCAAAATATCTCTGCATCTTTTCTCCTGCTGCTTGCAAACCAGGAGCATGTTTGCCTTCTCTTTAATCCTGCTTCAGTACAAACTCTGCACAAAGTCCTACAACTTCATCGCATGGTTCCTTGTTGTGTTTTGTTACAAGCGGATTTCTCTGCCAACCGAAAACTGTCATTGCCACGTTGCAGGACTGTTGTGAGGGCTTGCTTCCATTTCTTTAGCAAACTGCTTTTGAACAAATAAGGAATTCTCAGCTCAGGATAAGCCTCCCTTTTCCAAAATGTTCAACTTTCAAGAAACAACGTAGGGGATTCAGCTTAAGTTTTTCTTCTTCTTCGCCATCTCAAATATCAGAATCTAAAACTAAAGTATTCTCTAACTATATCAAGTTATAGTCTAAGAGGACAACATTCTGTGGAGTCCTTAAAGTTAATTTCCGCTGGTCTCATATAATATGGTTCATACGATAAAATAATGCAGGGTTGGTTTTTTTTTTTTTTGTTTGGTCTTTATTTGTAAACTCAGTGACTATAAAAAAACCACATGACTTGATCCCACTTTGTTCATTACGCTTGTCAGTATTTTAAACGTTCAATTTATGATTTGCTAGTTCTAATTTAGGGAATTTCAGATCCCCCTTCATAATATAGCTAGTGTCAGGAGGGCAAAGTTGGAGACATTAAAGGGAATTTATTCTACTTTGGTGACTTCTGTTATTTTTGTGCCATGTTCCGGGTCATCACAAAAACCTCCAGTGATGAAACACCCACAACTTCTGGAGGGAAGCCGTTCAATTGGTTAAATAACAGAATAAAGGAGTTGGAAGGGACCTTGGCTGAGGAATTCTGGAAGTTGAAGTCCACAGGTCTTAAAGTTGCCAAGGTTGGAGACCCCTGTTCTAGTCCAACCCCGTGCTGAAGCAACAAACCCTTTACCGTAGTTCAGACACCCATGGTTTAATGGTGTGTCATGGTAGATTCTCTGTGTGCATTTAAGGCTCTACACTTTGCAATATTGTACACCGAGAAGGGAGGCTGCTCACACACACACACGCAGGGGAAGACAGATGTGTGAACAAGGCCTTCCATTTTAATCCGAGCTTCGTTGACTCCATCACCCATCTTGTCCCAGAACGGCCCACCCGACAGCTTGGCAGAAAAGTGTGAAATTGGAAACCCAAATGACTTTTCCTGCAGCCGCTGAGCAAGAAAGCACATCCTTGGCTTGTTTATAAACAAAAAAGCGGGGTTTTAAATGTGATTTTTTTTTTTTTTAACATGGAACATTAAATAATCCAAAGCAAACGCTTACGGAGAAAGGCTCCGTGGGCAAGCTAATCACTGCAAGCCCCGAGCTAATTTTATGACACGTAAAAACACCTCGCATAGTTCCAAGAATAAAATCTCTAAAAGGGAAAATGTCTGTTTATGATGGTCAGTGACCAGTCAATGTGACAAGCACAAAAACAAAACAAAACACCAGACAACCAAGAGAACAAATAAAATAGATGGTACATTAGCAAACTAGAGAACGTGAGGATTTCATGAGCTATTTAAGATGTACCCCCTGGTCTGTAATCAAGTCAAACTGCGGTAAATATTGTCGTAAAAACAGAATAAAAATAAAATTGTGGCTTATAACGGGGAACACATTTAAACATGCTTGTGCAACCGAAAAGAATAAACTTCTCTTTGTGGGTTACAAAGGCAACAAAGCTGGAGAATTGACAATTAAAGCACCGCTGGTCAACCTGAACATCTGTTAAGAGATGTAGATTTCAACCCCCAGAATTCCCCAGCCAGCCAAGAATTAATAAAGGGTCCTTTGGCACTCTCTGAGCTGGGTTGTTTGCTTGCAGACGTTTCATTACCCAACTAGGTAACATCATCAGTGCTAGAAGGGAGAAGGTATTGTGGAGAGGAGGAAGAGGAGAAGGAGGAGGAGGAGGAGGAGGGAGGAAGAGAAGGATAGGAGGACTGTGAGGTCCTTGGTACTCTCTGAGCTTGTTTTCTTGCAGATGTTTCATTACCAAACTAGGTAACATCATCAGTGCTAGTAAGGACTGCGGTTTGCAAATGCCATTCCTTCTACCACTGAAGTTACCTAGTTGGGTCATGAAACGTCTGCAAGAAAACCACCAAGCTCAGAGAGCACCAAGGACCCCCTCATTTCAACCCTGAGCTACAAATATTCTCCTTTATTGGCAAGAATGAATAAATAGCCTGTTAAGAAAACACAGCCACTTCCGTTTCAGGAGACCCTAATATTCAATTAGAAATATCCGGTTTGACTCACCTGGTTTTTCCTCTCTTTAAAATCAATGTTCATTTTTTTAGTCTTCTCCAAAGCCGTCTCCAGTCTGTTTTTAAGGTCAATGGCTTGTCTCAGGCGATCGTCGCTTATCCCAGCCCTGGTGAATAACTACAAATTGCAGATCAGTCAGTTCATCCTTCTAAGATGACCTATGCATCTCATACACCGCAAGGAAAAATAATGGCAATCTGCAATTCTTTAACTACCGGCGGCTCATCTGCTTATTTCAAATGGGAAAAAAAATGCAGGGAAAAATAAGGAGCTAAAAATCTAATATAATTTCTCCTTAATTCCAGGTTGCTTCTCTCCTTGGTTAGTTTCCACCCATTGTTTCTTGTCCTGCCTTCTGGTGCTCTGGAGACTAAGTTGACCCTCTATTGTCCCCACAAATATTGGAAGGCTGCTCTCATGTCTCCCTGGTCCTTCTCTTTGTTAGAATAGACCACAAAAGCATCTTATAGCTGTTTTGGTCCCAAAAGGTCTCAGCACCATTATAATTACAGAATGAAAGCAATCCAACTTCATTCTTAAATTATTATTATTTTTTTAAAAAATGCTTACCTGAATCCAATACTGCACCAATGGCAAATATTTATTTGTTACGAGCTTAAAACTATCCGAAAGGTTATTGATGATGGCTGCATTGTCTTCATTCTCGCTCAGTTTCACATCTAGCAGGAACAAAGGAAGAGATCAAATTTCTCTCTCAGGATTCTTGTGCATTTTTCGCTCTCTAAGTAGATACACAGTACACACACATATGTACATAGACTGTGTATACACAATGTATGCACCACAGAAACACAGGTAGCACTGATAAATTCAGTAAAAAAAAAACAGTAACAGTAATAGAGTTGGAAGGAAACTTAAAGGTCATTTAGTCCAACCCCGTTCTTGCAAGAGACCTAGACTATTTCTGATGGATGGCAGTCCAGACTCTTCTTAAAGTCCTCCAGTGTTGGGGCACTCACAATTTCTAAAGGCAATTTGTTCCACTGGTTACTTGTTCTCATTGCTGGGAAGTTTCTCCTAAGTTCTAGATTTGCTCTTCTCCTTGGTTTAATGCAGAGGTCCCAAAACTTGGCCACTTTAAGACTTCCAAGTCTCTATGCTGGCTGGAGAATTCTGGGAGTTGAAGTCCACAAGTCTTAAAGTTGCCAAGTTTTGGGACCTCTGGTTGAATGGGTTGCTTCTCTCCTTGGTGTCATTATTTTCAAGAATAATGGTTCAACATTATCCTTGGAAATATATGCTCCTGTTGAGTGTTTGGCAACTTATTCTAGAGCTGTGTTGGCGCAGCGGTTAGAATGCGGTACTGCGGTTCTGCTGACTGCAATTTGGCAGTTCGAATCACACCAGGTTCAAGGTTGACTCAGCCTTCTGTCCTTCCGGGGTGGGTAAAATGAGGAGCCAGATTGTTGGGGTTTGCAAGAGGCTGACTCTGTAAAACCACTTAAGAGAGGGCTGTAAGGCAGTGGTCGCCAACCAGTGGGCTGGGGACCACTGGTGGTCCATGAGAAAATTTTGGTGGTCCGCAGAGAAATGTCACCCCCAAAGCACTTAATCCAGGCTGCGCGGGAACATAAGGCTGCGCTGCCCACATGGCCCACGGGAGCACAAGGCTTGCGTCGCTTGCATTGCGAATGAGGTAGTGAGGGGAGGGGAGAAAGGGCGGAGGGGGGAGAACTTGCCCCACTCGCCCCATGCGCCTGGCCTGGCCACAGGGCTGCTTCTTTCCGCTCCTTCCTTCTTCTGCTTTTGACTGCATGCAAGGAAAGCAGCCAAAGTCTTTCTTTCTCTCCCCCAAAATCAACCAGAAATGAGTCTTTGGGACCCTGCAAGGCCTCCTGCTCCAAGAGGCTGCACCAGCGCGACAAGTCTCACAAAGACTCATTTCTGGAGGAGCTTGGGGGAGAGAAAGAAAGACTTCTTCTGCTGCTCCTGCTGTTTTCCTTGCATGAAGCCAAAAGTCTCTCAGCCTCTCTCTCTCTCCCCTTGAGAATGGAGCTGGAGACGGTATCCTGCGATCCCAAATAAAGAACGATCGATCGGTAGGAAAACGGGGTGGGGAATTTTCCTGCAGACTTTTTTTTTGGGGGGGCGGAGGGGGTTTCCAGGTTCTCTGGTCCGTGGGATTTAAAATTATGAGTTTGGTGGTCTCTGAGGTCCAAAAGGTTGGCGACCCCTGCTGTAGGGCACTGTGAAGCGATGTATAAATCTGCTATTGCTACTCATGCGGGCTGTTCTGCTGTGGCAAAAATGATATTCGATGCCCCCTGTGAGCAAAAAGCAACTTCTGGATGAAACAGGTCCAACAACTACCTGAAGGCACTTCAAGACTGAGGGTGTATTTGTAAGAGCCGAGTCCGTGGCTGCGAAGGAACATGGCGGGATCCTCATCTCCCATAACCCCGAGAGAACTCGATGCAGGCTTTTGTAAGGGATCTTCTGGATCTTGGTCCTTCTCCATTTCACCACCGGAGTCGGGGGAAGGATCGTTTTTGGGCCCTGGAGAAATGGCAGGGAGGTCCTTGCTACAACAAGGCTGTGGATCGTGATCCATGAAAGCTGCTTGCTGGCTTGCAACCCGGGCCGAAGAACCTCGCCTCCAACCTGTGGTTTCAGCCTCGTGCATGGCGAAGTCCAAAGGATCTGGAACCAGCAGCTGAAAACAACTCTCCAGCTCGGTCAGCACAGACTGGATTTCTGGAGACGCCTCTGCCAAGAAAATGCAGGACACTTAGGTGTGGTGACCCGGAGAGTAACACAAACGTAACAAAATCCAAAACGTAAATAAATGTCCTTTAATGCCTCCAACTTGGCCCCACTCTTCAATAATTCTCCGTTGGAGATAAAACATATTCAAAAATAGTCTTCAAAAGAAAGCAATACAGTGTGAACTTAAATGTGCAGATGAAGGTGAAATAAAAACCCAAAACAAAGTTTTCTGTGTGTCCAGAAAACACACACAGATGACTGATTCAGCAGGATCATTCACTTCTTTATAAACATAATGAGTAAAGTTTACAACACCACTTGTAGATCCTTTCAAGGCAACACAAGCAAACACATCAGCAGCAGCTAAGAGGGCTCAGAACAACTCTAGTTTCACTTTCACTTCTCACACAGAGCCAAATTGCACCCCAGGCTGTCATATCCCACTGGCTGGTCTGTTGCCATGCTGACTTTGTTAACCATGTGTCTGACAGTTAATGAATATACTCTGATAGATTGGGAAGAGGGAAGAGGAGAATAACGGTAATACTGCCTTTCTAGATAGTTTGATAGTGTTGTGAGAATTTTAAAATGTATGTAACTTTTGACCAAGGTGGATGGTCACAATCTGTCACAAGCCACTTAGAAAGTTTTCAGACCTTCATCAACTCAATTTTTTTTTACCTTTCACCATGATAATTTTATTTTTCCCAAAGCTGTCTAACACAGATCTTTACAGATTCCTGATCTACGAACAGATCATCGTTTTACAGCAACGGTACTATGGAAGCACTCCTATGGATAAAATCTAGAAACACCAAGGAAGAATGTGACACCCAGAAATAGAATGGGAAGAAATATACCATCCAACTCTCACCTTCCATTTCCTTTTCAGCTTTTTGGGCTTTCTCCTTGTAAATATTATCCAATCGTTTTTGCCTTTCTTCATCTCTTTTTCGTTCTGCTAATGTTCTGGCATGGACATCTTGAAAATCTACCTAGAAAGGGAAAGAAGAAAACTAAGTCCCATTTAATATAACAGGCACATTCCAAGCATGATAAAAATCTGGATTCGGTTCCATATTGGTTATTTACAGCATAAAATGTTAATATTAATAATGCTGGCGAATCCATCAGTAAAGATTATTTCCTCCTATTTTTTTTTGGTCTCTGGCCTCCTACTTTGAGAGAATGCATGAAAGCTGTTCTCCAGAAGTTTATACAAGTTGCACAAAAAGGAATACATTCATCTCAATAGTTTATTTATTTAAAGTTCTCGGCTGCCAACTCCAGTGGACTCTGGGCAGTGCACAAAACTAAAATATTAAGGCAAAAGAAAGCAAAGATAACACTGGTATTAATAAGCACCTGGGATGCACTCCCCAAACATCTAGAATTACCACTTGAACACCATCGGCATTGACAAAATCACCACCAGTCAATTGCAAAAGGCAGCTTTATTCAGAACGGCTTACATCCTGCCACGTTACCTCTAACACTATCAAACCATAATATCTGGCTACCCCAGGTCCTTGGCAAGGATTTAATCAGTAGACCAAAATGCCAAATCCAGTCTGAACACCTGGCCATCTGTGCAACCAACCATAATAATGAATTATATCAGTGTTCAAATGGGAGAAAAGACTGTGCAGGCTTGATGGGGGGACATAACTTTCCTAAATTATTATTCTGTTTAACAAGGATGACCTTTTTTTACTTCAACATAGAGAAAAAGATTCAAGCAGGCAGAAAATAGGACAAATCCAATGCGGCTGAAATAGTTAATTTCTCAGTGCACATACTCTTTAATTAAATTTAAGCATTGACTAAGATTTGTCAGCCTGCAAACATGGGATGGTAAATTCTGAGGCTGGCTTTTTATTCAAAACCAAAGTCTTATTTCCTCACAAGCAAAGTCAGTGTCATTTTTTAAAAAAAGTAATCAGCATTAGTTCTCGAACATGTTAGAGCAGTATTTTTCACCCTGGACAAGTTTAAGATGCAGGGACATCAACTCTCAGAATTCTTCAGCCCGCTTGGCTTTGCTGGCTGGGGAATTCTGGGAGTTGAAGTCCCCGTATCTTAAAAGTGGCTCAGGTTGGAAATAAATCACCAAAGTCTCAAACCATAAACTGCCAGCCTTCAGATACCTTCTTGTTCTGTTTTAAGAAGTAGTATCCCAAGGAAAGTTTCTTGTAGGCTTCGCCGTACTTTTCATGCCATTCCTGTACAGATTTTATGGCGGCCTTTTTCAGCTTCTGGGCTACTTCGGCGGGTGGAGGGAGAGGCTGGTCATAGTCGGTTTCCACCGTCAGCTCTAAGAATTCTTGGAAGTTGGAAATAAGCCGCGTTCGGAAGAGGTGCGAGCGAGCAAAGAGCTGGTCCACAACCTGAAAGGCTGAAAGACGGATCTCGGCGTGATCCTGGCTTAACTGGGACATCAGCAGGTGGTAAACACGGTTGATGTGCTCATCGGAACACCTGTAGGGACGTCAAGGGCCGGATAAGCATGACATTAAATGTTCTGACCAAGGCTTCCCAAGACCATAATTAAACACACTATTAATTAAAACAACTCGTGTTATTTCAATGCTGGGAATTATGTTCATTCCCAGCCTGTAATGAGTCCCAAACAGTCCCTCAAGATAAGCACCCACCTTTCTCTCCTCTGAATTGCTGACTACAACTAGAGTGCCAAATGAACCGTAAAAAGCCAAACGGAGTACAAAGTCCACACAGAGGTTGTAATTTAATCCAAACAGAACGAACGTTGCTTCCTGCAAAGGCTCCTGTCCCTTTGCTCCTCCTTTATGTCTTATGGGAGGGCCAATCACCTCCAAGCCTTACTCCTGAATTGCCCCTTTTGTTTCAGCTGCTCTCGCCTTCTAGCAGCTTTGCACATACGCGCACATGGGAACAGGCTCCCTCTGTTCCTCTGCCTCGCTGCTGCCAGACTCCAGAGGCTCCGGAATCAGCACCCCATTCCCAGACGGTCCTGGCCCCATCTCTGCATTGGATGCAGGACCGAGTTCTCTCCAGACTCCCGGACTGGTCCCCGTTCTTCCCCACTGTCCGATTCCACTGCCGTCTGCACTGGCTGCTGGGGAACCACAACAATAATACGGACTCATTGGATAAATACAACACGGGCCGTCCTTCGACGCAGAGCCAAATTTATGTTGCTAATGAGATCTTTGTGAAGGGAGCTTTGTCCCATTTTACGCCATTTTCTTGCCACGTTTGTTAAGTGAATCCCTGCTGTCGTTAAATGAGTAACAGGTTGTTAAGTGAATCTGGTTTCTGCATTGACTTTGGCAGTCAGGCAGCCGCAAAAGGGGAATCATGGGACCTCAGGATGCTGTGACCCTCATAAATATGAACCAGTTCTCAAGCGTCTGAATTTGGATCACGTGACCATGGGCATTGTGCAACAGTTGTAACTGTGAAAAATGGTCCTAAGTCACTTTTTAAAGTGCTGTTGTAACTTTGAATGGTCGCTAAATGAGGACTACCTGCATTGGTTGGCAACAGGACTGTTGCACAAGCAAAAGCAAGTGGCATTTCCACTGCAGCCGCTCTCTTGATTTTTTGACCACTGCTTGTTGTGGCTCCATAGTGGTCAGCAGAGCTGGCAGCAGGTTCGGACAGTGAGGAGGTTGGAGAGGAACCTGGGCCAGTCCTGGAGGCTGAGGAAGGCTCGGACGAGGGCTCTGCGTCGGAGGCAGAGATGGGGCCAGGGCCGTCTTGACATTTCCCAGCTGCCTTCAGAGGCGGAGATCAGAGGGACGGAAGAGTAGCTGGAGCCTGTTCCCAGTGTGTGCATGCACAGAGCTGCCAGAAGAAGGGAAAAGTTCAAGAACAAGGGTGGACTCAGGAGTAAAGCCACAGGTGGATGGTGAATGGCCCCTCCCCTAAGGAATAAAAGAGGAGTGGGGCTTTTTAGGAGACCATTCGTTCATTCCGGCATGCTTGCCAAGTATTGCAGTGTCTGAAAGATATCTGTAATTGGGAACTATCTTGAAAGACTGTTGGCCGGGACTTTGCTGGAGAGGAATTCATTGTAAATTAGACAAAAGGGGTTTATCGGGATGAGGACTCGGCCTTGTGGTTTTGGGAAAGCCTAGCTCAGAACACTGCTTGTAGACCATCTCTGCATGCAAAAATAATAATAATTCAAACATTCTTTACTCCGGAATATAATTCCTCTCCTTGCACTAATTAAAGTCTTTTTAATCTATCAAAATCTTTAAGGTTCCCATCTTTGGCATATATAATGTAGTACAAACTTCAGACTGAGCCAGCCATTCAATGCATGTGCTCTAAACCAGGGGTTTAGATAAAGAAATAAATCCATCTTCCATTTAAAGAGTGTGTCAACTGGGTACGAACACCTTGTGCAATAATCATTACAACTGTAATTAATCCAAATTCCTTCCTGTAATACCAATAACTACGTTCTTGTTTTATATCGCTATACTTAATATATCTTATCGTTATCGATCTTTGTTTTCCAACCATTGATAAAAATAAACCCCTCATCATATAATATTCAGTTTGTTCTTTTTCTTGGATTGCCGGAGTTAATCTGCTCCTTTCTGCAGATTCTAATATTTTCTCGATCACGTTCTCTTCTATCGGAACCTTTTCGCTTTTCCAATTTTGAGCAAGTGCTATTCGAGCTGCAGTTAATAACATTAATAAATTAAATGTGCTTTTTCTTTACTGTAAATTTCAAATATCCTCTTCTATGGTTTACCTGCAGATGTTCTTCAGCGCTTTCATCTTCTTCGGATCCAGCTGGGGTTCCCCAGAGGTGGTCAAGTCTTCCACAAGCTGTGACAGCTGCTGGTCCATCTCTGGGGGAGCAAAACCATCCTAGCTGATAAGGTGACCCCTCAAAAATTCTGGAGGGTACCTTCTCTCCACCCCACCCTCCCAAAAGCAGCCACCGGGGGCTGAGCAGGCTTGAAGCAGCTGGGGGGGGGCCTGGGGCTCCAGAGTAAAGAAACTCTGGGCAAACGGAGCCCTTGTGCAGTCTGGCCAGGTGGAGAGAGATGGTAGAAAGGGAGGCCTGCCCTGTCCAGGTCCTGAACTGTGTCCCTCCTGGGAGGTAGAGTAAGAGAATGGCAGAAAAAAAGAGAACCGGAGAATAACAAACAGAAGAACGGGAAAAAAAAAGAGAATTAACAGACAGAAGAATAGAGAAAACAGAATAACAAAGAGGATAACACAGAGGTCTCCAAACTTGGCAACTTTAAGACTATTTTTAAAAACGATTTGAGTTTTCACCAAACAAAGGTAAAATAGAACACCTTTTTTTAGTGAACAGAATGGTTCCAGGTTTTCACTTCTCCATACAGATATAATCTCAATTTCATATTCCTCTTTCATATTCAGTTTCATATTTTATCTCTACTTTGTATATTCTCCATTTGTTTTTTCTCAAATACCTCCCTCATGCTTATTTTATAGCTTTCTTGTTCATTTTTAAGTCTATTTCATTTCCTTTTCAAACTTTCCATATCTTCGTAATCATTATACTCATACTTTTATCTGTTCTGTTTACAATTTCATTATGCAACTTTTAAGACTCGTGGATTACAGAGGTCTCCAAACTTGGCAACTTTTAAGACTTGTGAAGTTCAGAGGTCTCCAAACTTGGCAAATTGAAGAATTGTGGACTTCGACTCCCAGA